AACGCCCTCTTTGTCGAGATTTTGTAGATACCTCCCTTCCAGAAATTTTCACTTATTCCCCTCTCACTATGTTTACCGAAGAGTAAGCTGGGAATTTTTGCTAAATAGCTGTACAAACAATCTGAAACTCACGTTAGTAAGTTGTGCCCATCCTCGTTGCCATGCGGCTTCCGTGTAAGGGTCTTTGGGATACGGTAGTTTGAGTGGTGCCCGGTCACCATGCCGCCAAATCGCTTGGACGAACACCAGCTCCTTTGGAGTTACTGATGAAATTATGCTGTATAGAGATACTGTGGCTAGAAGTATTGATATCCGCCGAGGCTTCATACTGGAATTAAATGCTGATTCAAACTGAAAAACTCAACAACTGCGAGCGAGATAGCGAAACCAAATAACAACATTTTTGCTTTGCTAATGGAATAAAATGAAAACGAAATGGCAGAGAATACAGAATGAGATGTGAACGACGATAGAAATGCCTAAATGTGGTTGCCGCAGCCCATACTCGCCTTTCTGAGGTGGCTTGAAATTCCCATTCCAATTACTCCAATACTAGCGAAGTTGTCCGGTAGAAGATTAGCACGACCCTGGACTTTGATGATTGTAATATGTGAAGAGATATACCCAGCACACATGGCTCCGATTGGGAGCGCAGTGCGTGGCGCATCCCGTGGAGACTGGCGAAAGTCAAGCCCTGGGTTGCTGTTTCTGAATTATTTTCTTTCTCTGCTTGCAGGTCAACAATACTGGTGATGGAAATGTATTGAAAAGCAAAAAGAAATCAAAACATCAAAAAAGGTGGTCCCCTATGTGGGATAGACTTTTGCGAAAAGTTTGCACCCATGAAAAAATTTACTCAGCACAATAAAACCGATTTCAATCGAAAAACTGTTACGACATCTAGCAGCTCCTCCTTCTAACCATCGTCATGACGGAGTTTGATTGATGGGGTCAATCGTTGGTATTCAACAGTTGAACTAGTCAAGCAGTTTTAACCGACTCAACTATTGCCAGCATGGACCACTTGTTCTGTGCGTTTTTTCGGACCTTTTATTTGATTTTTCACTGCATATCAAATATAAAATATACAGCATTTTCGAAGTGTCAACATCAAAATGGACCGCCTTTGACTAGAATTATTAGAGTGCAAGGAATTTTAAGAAGCACCATAGCCATATTTTCACGACATCATTTTTGATCTCTATTTACTCGAAGATAAACTTGAATGTGTGATAAACATTGACCAAGATGACTACATCATGTTAACATATTCAAGTTGGGGCAGCTCATATGTCCAAGGATACGAACTCGTGGGGCTTCGGCAGCCATATGGCCTGTTAACGTTAATGGCGTAAGTTTCTGGGCATTTTGAAATCTACGTATAATTACGGGCTAGTATTTGAATGTCATGGTTCTTTGGGAGATCATAAGGATAAGGATAAAGCATTTGCCGTTGATCAATCCCTTTTTGGGATGCGGCACGCATTCTACTTCCATTTGTACATTCGTAGTGGCGTTTGAATGCGATGTGGCCTATACAATGACTTGCGGGGGCCAGCCGATGTACAAGTCAGTGTTTTTATCCTCCCAGACAAGTCTGGTACCAATTAACCGACCCCGGAGGGATGGAAGGCTTGGTTGGCCCGGGCGACTCACGACCCAGGATTTGATCCCCGGACCGCTCGCGTGGTAAGCGTGCCACTTGCCACTACACCACTTCCGCCCTAAGAGGAATGAATCAAAATGCGTGCCGCATCCCAAAAACGGGATTAATCAATAACAAATGCTTTATCCTTATACTGCTCTTAAGATTAGGCATGCTTAGAGAAAGTTCTGGGCTAAACTGAATTCGGGGCTGGGCACACTCTTTTTCTTTTCACTCCCATAAACATGTGTATGAAAAGAATAATAGAAGTAAATACGAAGGCACAAAATTTTCTTTTATATTACAATAACAAGCCCTTCAAGTTGGAATTCTGCTCCTACCTAAATTACTTCTACTTACTGGCTTTTAGTGAAATTTCTTTGTGTTATTCATGTTTTTGTTGAATGAATAAACCGTATAAGGTAGACAGGAGCAGTGTTATTATGGCTGTCTGCTGTCAATCTGTAGAAGGTAGACTGCCATAATCTTCTTCTTCTTATTCTTTAGCGTTTGTCCCACCCTGTGGCGGGGTCCGCTTTTCTGGTATTTGACGCCACTTTTCCCGATTAATGCCTGATCGGGGTGAAGGCCAACTAATTTCAAGTCCTCATGCAACGTATCAAGCCATCGTTGCTTCGGGCGTCCTCTTGGCCGCTTTCCTGGCACGTTAAAGTCTAGACCGATCTTACGGACACTGACCGTACCACCTCAGGCGAGCTTCGCGCATCTTATCAGCGATGGGAGCCACACCGAACCGCTTTCTGATGGTATCGTTGCGAATGTGGTCTAAACGGTAACCCCGGCAGTCCAGCGCAGCATTTTTGTCTCCATTACACTGAGACGAGCCTCAACCTCTTTGTCACGGGCCAGCAGCGCCACTTGGACCAAGCTGCACTCACCCGGGAGTTTACTTCAGAGATCAGGCTGCCGTCGGACGCGATTGCCGACCCAAGATACTTGAACGATGTTGTACGTGTGAGCTCAGTGCCACTGATCTTAATTGTGCCTGACTCACTCAAATCGGTGGTCAAGTACTCTGTCTTCTTCACATTCAACCTGAGCCCAAACATAGCCAGACGGTCGGACCAGGTTTGCACCTGTTGCTCGAGCAGATGTTTGTCTTCGCATGCGAGCATCACGTCATCAGCATAAAGAAGCGTCCATGGAGCGGGCTTCTGAAGATCACGCGAAATGGCATCCATAACGACAATGAATAGGAGTGGGGAAAGCGCAGAGCCTTGGTGCACACCGACCGAGATGGGGAATTCCATCGAAGTACCTGCCACCGTTTGCACCCGACTCCTTGAGTTCGAGTAAAGTATGCGCACCCACTCAATGAGCTCTTCAGGAACGTCGTGCTGTCGTAAAGCATACCATATGACTTCTCGAGGAACGCGATCAAAAGCCTTCTCCAGGTCCAGGAAGGCAAGATGCACAGCTTTTCTTTTCTCGCGATGTCTTTCCACAGAAGGCGGGCGGCATGTATTGCATCGATGGTGCCGCAGCCTGACACAAATCCACACTGGTTGATGGAAAGCTGCACGATGTCACGAATACGGCCGTCCACAATTCGCTCAAAGATCTTCATGCTGTGCGAGAGCAGGCGGATTGGACGGTAGCTCGTACAGTCAGCAGGGCTGCCTTTCTTCTTCCAAATCGGAATCGTTGTGCTCTGCTGCCAACTCTCAGGCACCTTTCTCTCTGCTACGATCTGGTTGAAAAACTTGGTCAACCATTCAGCAGGACACCAGCATTTTGACTTCCATATGTCGGCCGCCAAATCATCGGGACCTGTAGCCTTTCCTGACTTCATCTTCTTCAGAGCCCTTTCCGTTTCCTCCACGGTTATTCTCTGCACAGGACCTTGCACTGGCGGGAACATAAGGGACTGCTGGATGGGCAAATTCTACGACTGAGATGTTCTCGAAGTAATCATGCCATCGCTTCACTGCTTTCTTGCGGTCCGTCAGGAGGTTACCATTTTCGTCGTTGATGCCGAAAAACTTCTCGATATCCTCGGACTGGCGATGGCGGGCTTTGGCGAGACGATAAACATAGCGTTCACCATCGCGCGTCTCGAGCTTCTCGCTAACATCAGCAAAGTGGGCAGCTTTTGCGGCAGCAACGGCCTTCTTTGTCGCACTCTTAGCTGCCTGATAACTTCGCCAGTTGTCGACAGTCTTATCGCCAAGAAATACGTGGTATAGCCTCTTCTTCTCACTTCAACAACCTCCGTCCATAGTCACGCTTGCTTGTCGATCTTCCGTCGCCCAGGTTTTGTTTTGCCGAGTTCGGAAAAGGGCAGAACGCGATTATTCGCCTCGGCAGCACTTTTCCAAGTTTCATCAACAGTAGTGACTGCCGGCAACTGAATGTTGGATATCACGACCGCCTCCTTCTCTTTCAAACGCCACCACTTGATTCTCGCTGGTCCACACCGCTCGATTTGTTTCAATTTCGGAGGAGCGATCTTCAGCGTGCAAATCAGCGGTCGATGTTGCGTGGTGACAGTCTCATACGGCACCGCCTTTGCGTCTGTTACGAGCCCTCGATCGCGTTGCCTGACGAGGACATAGTCGATTTGCGTTCTGGTAGTACCGCTATAGAAGGTGATGAGGTGGGAATCACGTTTCCGGAAATTCGTATTCACGATGGTGAGATCGTGCGAATTTGCGTACTCAAGAATTCGTTCGCCATCGTTGTTACGTGACCCATATCCAAATCCACCATGACAGTTGTACCCGTCTTTCGCAGTGCCGACGTGACCGTTAAGGTCACCTGCGACAATGACAGCCTCTTCTGACGGTACATCTGCGGTCTTTTCATCCAGCAAGGTCCAGAACTCGTCCTTGGCTCGCTCAGAGCAGCCAGTCTGCGGAGCATATGCAGAAAAGAAGTGGTATCGCTTACGTTCGATGACGACAACAATCTTCATTAGACGGTCGTCATAACGATCAACGCTTACGATCGAGTCACGGAAGCGGTCAGAAACAACTACTCCGACCCCTCTGGTCGTTCTAGGACCGCCACAAAGAACGGCTTTGAAGCCTCGTCCAATATCTCTCGATCTGCAGCAGGACCACCTCGTTTCCTGCACGGCACAGAAATCAATCCGTCGGCGCTCTAGAGCTTCTGCTAACTCGTACGAGCGGCCCGTTCAACGTGCCAACATTTAACGTCGCAACGCGAATCTTCCATACGTTGCAGGACTTTGTGGACTAGCCTAGTTGCCCCCCGACGCCGTCCTTGCGTCGGAGACCCTCGCATACTTTTCACACTCGCCGGGCTTTGCGAGTGCGCGTCGGCTCCCGCGGACGCCGTAGCATTATCTCGGAAATCACATGAGCGACATTAACCATTTGTGATGTGACGTGGATGTTCGTAGGCCGGCCTGTCACGGGGGCCTGTCGCCTGCATTCGAATGTCCGCGATCAGCTCAGCTCACAAAAGTGAGCAGTTCCCAGTGGCACCACTTGGAGGAGCGGACCCCACCACCTAATTCCACTAATACATAAAATTTCATACTGAATCCATGCTTACCATGAAGTGCGCATATTTTGTGAACACATCCTAGAAAATGCCTCAGTGCAACAGCACTACTCCGACCGCATGCTGTGGAAACACCAAAGAAATGAATAAATCATGTGAACAGTAGGTTTGTCCGAATTCTGAATTTATGAGA